GAGACCAAGCCCCATGCCAGTCTCTGGGCTGACAGTGTGGAGCCCTCTCTCTGCCCCTCCCTTGCTTGCATTCTCTCTGTCTCTGTCTCTGTCTCTGTCTCTCTCTCAAAATAAACAAACAAACATTAGAAAAAAGAAATGGACATTGACAAGGGGTAAAGGATGATTAAAAGTGTCAAATATAACAACCAGGGTGCAGTTGCACCTGTATTGTTGCACAACTGTTCCTGCAGTAAAATCTGTGAGCAGGAAGTCTACACTTTATGGCTTTACGAGACTCACAGGAGGGAAGCCAGGTCACTCATAGTTGCATCGTCTCCTGACATATCCAGGACTTGCTTTCATTTGTTTCCGGGTGAGGTGAATCGTAAGATCATCCCTTTTCTGCATTGGTGTCCCCATGGACCCTTGTCCAAAACGATGTGAGCAAAGATTTAATATCAGAGCAGTGACAAGCCTTCCATGAATGTGAGTGGCTAGCTCATGGACAATGGCTGGGAATACTATTGACTTGCACATCTATTTTTCAGGTTTTTTTTTTATGGAGAAGTCATAAAACATCACATAAAAGGCATCTAATTGAGCATAGTTCGTACTAACAGAAGACATTGTTCTACATGTAACAAAACTTGTGCCGGCCCATCAATAGAGCCCTTGTGAGAATAGAGCCCATCAATAAAAGCCCATAATTTTACTCTGAAATTACTGGGTAGAAAACAAAGTAAACATGAGAGAAAAAGGGGAGAGATGAGAGAATACAATAATGTTTAGATTTTTGATGTATACATAATTATTTTTGTATGATGTTAGGTAGATATTTTTCCATTGGAATATGGAATTGGTCCAATATTTTTATTGAATAATAGATACATTATGAGATCTTCATAATGTATGTATTAAATAATTTTTTTATCCTATAAGCACTAAAAAAATTCATTGAAATATTTTATTAGAAGAGAGACCTGATTAAATTTACTCCTAAACCTACAATACTATCCCCCAGGGAGTACAGAAAGTGGATTAGAGGGTCAAGAATGCATATGTTATTGCATGAGTCCATTTCATGTTTCTCTTTGGCATTAAATATTCTATCTCAATATTAATTCTAATGTGAGAGTCTCAGTCTTTTTTTCTTCTACATTAGTCACATGAAGTTGACCAAAAGTTACATTATGTGAAAATCCTTCAAAGAGTGGTATTAAATTTTCCAAAGATACAAGGAACAGCTCTGAGTTGGTAAGATATCAGAAATTCCAGGAGACCAACAACAAATTCAATCAGGGTGTATTCAACAAATTCTGCATCCAACAGGGTATTGTTATTCTGTTTTGAATGTCTTTCAGGATGCCGAGATTTCCAGAAAGTTTATGGAACAATTGCAATGACTATATTGTATTGTAGTCACCTTAGGAACTCCATGACCAGGTGATCTATAGAGGTCATTTGCCAAAACTGAGAATTTTATTAAAGGTCATTTATTAAAAAGAATGAGTTTATTAAGCCGTTTATTAAAAAGAGCGGATGAAGAAAGTTACTACTTTCACTGGACCAAACTCAAGGTGAGTGTGTTCATCCTCCGATGTACATTCCCCTCGGTCAATCAATTATGATGTGGTGCTCTGGTTATTTACTGCCATGTAACAAATCATCCCCAAACTTACAGAATTAAAACAACGTATTCACGTCTCTCATGGTTTTGGCACTTGATGGTTCATCTGGTCATCTCCTTCTTGGTGCCTCCGTCACTTGAGGCAGGTCAAGGCTGAGACTTGGAGACAGCTGGAGCCCTCTTCACTCACATGCCTGGCATCAGATCTGGACCTGGGATGGCTGGAAAAGCTGGGGTAGACCAGCCCCCCCCCCCCCGTCTCCATGTGACAAAACACCTTGGCTTAGTAGTCTCAAGGTAAACAGATTTCTTACCTGGCACCTGGATTTCCCTAAAGCGAGTGGTCTGAGAAATCATAGCCAAAGTTCAAGAGTGTCATTTATGTTCCTTATACATAAGTCTCAAAAATCACACAGAATCATGAATCTCATATTCTCCTGGTTACACACGCCAGCCAGATTCAGTGTGGGAGGGGGCTACCTGAGGGTGTGCATACCAGGAGGTAGGGTTCATGGGGACAGCTGGGAGACTAGTTACCAGGAGGTTACATTCAGATACTGGGGGTAGTAATGGAGAGACGAGTATGTGACAATAAGGGACTTTAGGATTTTCAGCCCAATTCCTTTGAATAAGAGGGCTGTGTGTTACACAGCAGATCAGTGCTGTGATGGCTCATTGAGCAGACACTATACAGGAAGCCAACTTAATTAAGGACAGGATTCACATATTATCGTTATTTGTTGACTTTTGGAGAGGAGGCAGGACAGAGAGGAGCATGGGCACTGAGCATTGTTATTTCTTGCCCCCAGAAAAAGATTCAATAACTGAAATGTCTCTTGGAGTCAGTAGGTTAAATTTACTAGATAGAAATTTCAGGAAGTTATTTATTGCCAGGAAATGAAGGACCAGACCAGTGCTTAGGACCTATTAGACCTCTGCATAGTCCCAGAAATCAGGGAAACTACTGACTGATTTATTTGGAAACCAGAAATATCACTTTGCCTCCATCACAGATAAGAAAGGTGTCTATTTGAGAAATCGTAAAATGTGCTGCCTGATATAAATTATCCATAATGAACAGACCTGTTTCTTCCCTTTGACCTTGTTCTTGATACAACTGGACGCAGGAATTGCTCCAGCAACTTCAAAAGCCCCGTGGCCTTGTACTAAATCGCAAGGGCATCTAAACCCTTATGATTATGAAGCTGAATGCCAAGAGCAAAAGAATGATTCCGAAAATGGTCTAAAAGCGCCTCCCTGTTAACTTGGCTGCGGGACAAACCAGTTCGTGTCCAGCAGAAGCTTTTCAGGGCAGTGTGGCCGCTGCTGAGGGGCCCAGAGTGTCCCCAGGCCACAGTTTTAACCAGGAAAGAAACACGTCCCTGTGAAGGAATCACAGGCAGGAGAACCTCGTGGGCAGCAGGAACAGTGTCAGACCCTGGGGAAGGGCCAAGGAGCCCGGAGGCCCCGAGAGGAGCAGGAGGCCCCCTGCTGGAGGCCCCGAGAGGAGCAGGGGTTAGAGGCCCCGGGGGGAGCTCGGCCCTGGAGGCCCCCTCCCCACCACCGTCTGGGCCCTGGAGGGGACGCAGGTGTCGCCTGTCCCCTGAGGCCCCTGGGAGGCGGCATAAGCACCGGGACCGGGGCAGTGTGACAAGTGTCGCAGCAGGTAAAACCACCCGAGGTGCCCTCCCGGGTGAGCGGGCTTCAGGGACAAGACTCGGGGCCTCAGCACCCGGTTGCAGACTCTTGGCGGCTGAGTAGTCGTGGGGGGGGGGGGGGCTCCGTCCGCGTGGCTGCATCGTCCGCAGAGCAAAGCGCGGGGTTCGGGCGTCCGCGACCTTCCGTGCATTTGGCTGAGACCGCGGTCCATCGCGCAGCGTCACCAGACGAGTGTCCGCTTCACTCACTCCCCGTTCCCTTAGCCCACGCCGGGTGACAGAGGTGACAGGGTGCAGCCCCGGGCCTCGAGCCGCCCCCACCACGCGAGGAAACAGGTGCGCGACCACCTTGCATGACGTGACCCGGTAAGGGCGGCCGAGGCTCGCCGTTCACCGGAAAACACAACAAGCGCGGACGCGACAGTCACGGGGCCACATCGCAGGGTTCCCGGGGCTCAGCGTCCACACCCACAGCCCCGTCGCGACGGGAGGCCGTCAATCAGCTCCCCCCGCCGGCGGCCAGGCTCGCGTGTCACCTCCTCCGCCCGCCTGCGCACCGGCCTGGGGTCCTGGCCAGACGCCGAGACGTCCGCGGGGCGCCCCCAGACGGAGACTTGCACACAAGCACGGCAGACGCCCCAAGCGACACGCAGCACGTCCCCAGACACTGCCTCGCGCGGCCCTGCCCTCGGTCACCTCGTGGATGTGTGCGGTGCGCAGAGGAGGACAGCGGAGGTTCCCGGGGTTCAGCTCATCGTCTCCGATTTTCTCAGCTAGTCAGCGGTGCCCGTGAATGTCCTGTCCCGACTGTCGAGACAAAGGATGCCGACCCCTCCGTGGGCTTTACTCAGCGAGTGATGACACGGGAGCTCGGGGACTGGCGCTGGGAGGGACATGGCTGGCGTGTCTGAAGCGCTTTCCCAGGAAAGCAGGGGCGCTGGCCCTCCGCCACCCCGTCCCTGCACACGCGTGTCTTGCCGACCCGTCACAGCGCCCCGCGAGCGGGAACAGTTACACGCAGCCCTGGCCCTTCAAAACGGACCACACGATCCCCTGTGAACACAGCGTGCCCATCGTCTATCCTGCCCTTGCCCCTCAGCGCCTTCATCTGGGCGGCCGCTCTGCCTTCCGCGTGGCTTTGCCGCCTCAGGGGCGGGACGGGCAGCCAGAGACCTTTGTGCAGGTAGATCTCTCCTCCCTGTCACTTCTTTCTTCAGCCCATCCTTAGCCCCCCTCCCCGACTTTCGGAACACGTGAGGCTGATCACTCCAGGCCAATAACTTTCCAAGAGAAATGATTTGGAAAAAGTCTGTTGGCTAATTTTAGATCTGCTTCCATACACCTGTTAAAGCAACTTACATAACAGAATCAGCGGAAGAGCCCAGAAGGATTTCTGAATTTGCCGTTCCTGCTTTGCCCTGAAGGAACCTCCGTAATTGGGCGCTGAGAGCTGGTTTGAAAGTCCTAACCAGGCAGCCCAGCTGTACCATTTTCCCTGGCAGGCAGAACATTCCTCCTCCGCAGGGGAAGGTCTGCCTTGCACGGGGCACTTGGAAGGGCCGCCGTGGAGCAGGGGAGGACAGCCATCAGAGCCCTATTCTGCCAAATCTCTAGAGAAAATGAGCGATGTCGGCTCACAGGTCCCAAGTCAGTTTCTTCCAACAGGAGAAGTAGGCATTCGTTCTCCGAGAGAAGCCAACGATGCCGTGACAAGGAAAGAGGACAGATGGCTGGACCATTCCATGGATGAGAAGCTGGGGCAGGGAGTCAAGATCCAAGTCTTTGTCTTCAGGCTCTCGGCTCCAAATGTTCATGTTAAAAAATAAGGAAATCCCATATAGATACATGCAAGAATTATTTGAGAAGATTGTCTTATCCCATGAGCGTCAACGATGACATTGGGAAGCTTGTTTTCTATCCACTTGAGACCCAGACTAAGAGCTGTCCGTGGTAACACCTCAGGCGCATGAGCTCCCGGGACAGGGATGTCGAGCTACAGCCCCAGGCAAACGGGGATGGAGACATTGTCTCTGGTCCTTTCTGCAGCTCCATGCGGTGGCCCTGCTGCCATCGTGTTGGGGGATAACCCTACAAAGAGAAGAGACAGAACCAAATCAAGGGTCTTACCAGTTCCAGAAGCTGTGACCCCACACTCTTACTACAGGGCGTTGGCTGCATTTTCTTTCCTGAAAAATGCAAGTAATGCCTTTTATTCATACCAGTACATGTGTCCTATCTATTGATATGGTTGATCCAACTGGAAGAATATTCCTCCTGATTTGTTTTCTTTTGTGGATTTTCATTTATGTGACCTGCATGGTTTTAAGAGTAAACACAAAGCAAAGGGAAAATACCTGGTAATAGTGTAAAAGATATTTCGCTGTCATTTCTAACACTTTAAGAAGCCAAGACATTTTCATTTCCAAGAACAGCCCCTGTGGCGGGGACTCCTGCCTGTGAGATTTTCCTACTGACTTAAAATAGAGACCTGGCAGGATTTTACCACCGCTTGATTGAAGAATGTGGGGGGAGAGTGCAGTTCCCCATGTTAATGACACCTCCAGACAATTATCTGGGTCACCGTGGAGGGCCTGTCTCAGTCTTTGTACAGGAACACCATGGACAGAAACCGGTTTTCCTCCAGCATCAGAGAAGCAACCTGATAATCTTCTCTGCTCGGCATGTGCCACAAAGAATTGAGAAGGAAAGAAGGAAGACAGAAGCAAGATTCCACATAGAACATTATAGTATTTTTAATTATTAGGTCAATATAGTCACATGGTGAAAATTCCTATATTTCTTAATGATGATCAGCCTTTGATCAAGTCCAATGAGAAATGCATCTCCTTCAATGAGTCTGAATCAAAGTGTTTCCGTGCAAGCTGCTTTGATTTATTACTCATTGAAGAGAAACCAAGTTGCCAGTTCTGAGAAAATGCTGATATTGATCAATCAATGTCAAGTTTAGATTAAAAAAAAAAAAGTCAGACTTCCAAAATGGTGTATTTAGGATTCACAGAATTTAGAGAAAGCAAAGGGCTTTTGGCGAAAACTAGGGCCAAATTTAAAAGTGTGCATCCTGACTCGGTTGAAAAGATCTTATTTGGGGGGAAGGGGGGTAGATGCAAAAATGTAAGCACAGCATTATGTCAGCATACTAACACAGGGGCCGGAAAAATGAGGAAAAAGAGGAAAGATCGCTTTCAGATTGAAACATTAGGAGAGAAGACACATGAAGTGAAACAAAGCCACCTAACTGCCAGCTAATTAGCCATAAATTAAACTCCCATGTAAACAGAGGCACACTTTTTAGGTAGAACAAAAAATAATATTTCCTGTGGGGCACCCAGGTGGCTCAGTCGGTTAAGATCTGACTTCCGCTCAGGTCATGATCTCAAGGTCTGTGGGTTGGAGCCCCGTGTCGGGCTCTGCACTGACAGCTCGGAGCCTGGAGCCTGCTTCGGATTCTGTGTCTCCTTCTCTCTCTGCCCCTCCCTGCTTGCACACTGTCCCACTCTTTCTCAAAAATAAACAAATATTTAAAAAAAGAATATTTCTTGTATTACTCTGAATTACGGCAACCGTTTTAGTTTTTCGTTCTCTGCCTCCTTATTATTTTGGATGACTTAATACTGGCTCTCTGTATTCTGAAACAAGTAGCTGAACTTAAAATCCGTGGTTGCATACCGCGTCCTTCCTACACTCAGAAAAGTGCCACCATGGCGAATTCGCTACTCCCAAACACACCTTCATGCTGCTGCACTTTTTAGCCACGAATCGAAGATTGCTCGGTGGAAGATGAACCACACTGCTTAGATATTTCTATCGGTTTGGGATAAATGAAAAATAAAAACAATATGGCTATTGTATTCACCTTAGTGTTGCTGCCATGACAGATTACCACAGATTTAGAGGCTTAAAACAGAAAATGTATTGTCTCACAATTCTGACCAGAAATTTCTGGTCAGAAACCCACATGGTTTGGCTGATTCCTTTGCTCCTGTCCTCACAAGTCAAGATGCCAGCACAGCTGTTCCTGCTGGAGGCCGAAAAGCATCCACTTTGGGACTCATGCTGGTTGATGGCAGAGTTCGGTTCCAGGTGGATGTGGCATTGTGGTCCCCATTTGCTCGTTAGCTTCTGGCCAGAGGCTCTAGAAGATACTTGAATTCCCTGGCTCATGACCACCTTCATTTTCAAAGCCAAAGTCAAGTTCCTCCCAGGCTTGAAATCTCTCTAGCATTCCCGTCTACCTCAGCTGGAGAAAGTTCTCTGATTTTCAGGGCTCATATGATATGATTGGGCCTAACTGGATGACCCAGGGTAACCACCCCATCTCAAGGTCCATAAATTTAAGTACATCTGGTAAATCATTTTGGGGGGGGTGGGGAAAGTGCATTTCTTCATTTAAAAAAAAAAACGGAGAAGCTACGTCTTTACATAGGAATTATACACATTAACAAAGCATTTCTTATGGTTTTCTAAAACTTATTATAACAGGCTGCTATCTATCAATTAAATAGATTAGAATTTTTAAAGTTAAAATGAAATCTCTGAAACTACTGGATATGCTAGACTTTTCCAAAAATAAATGAACCGAGAATATGAATATGGTTTGCGTTCACTAAGTTTATCGTTAGCTTTGTTGCTAGGAGTCCTTAGGATACAGCTTTATTGTGCCTTTGTGATCATGATACATTTCTTTAAAAACTGGTCAAGTTTTCCATATATATAGTTTTACATGATAGATTACAGTGCAATACTATTCTTGTTGCATAATTATAGGGATATTACAGAGCCCAAGAGGACAGGGTAAGCAAAACAAATATAATCCTGAGCCATCTGAACAAGACGTGATATAACAAATTTACAGGTTTCAGAGATTGGGGCATAGACTTCTTCGTGGGGTCAATACTCTTTTTATTTCAGGAAGTTTTCAAATAATACAGAAAGTTTAAGAGTTGTCATAATATAAGTATCAGCCATTTGAGAACTCAATATTAGAATTTTGAGCTTAAATTATTTGGAGTTAGTTGATACTGAATTACATTGTTTAAATATTTTGGTCACAATATATGTCCCATATTGGTTCATTTGCTTATGCTTTTTACTCTATGCATATGCATATTTTTATGTCTGCATTACATATAAAATACTATATATATATATATATATATATATATATATATGGTGTGTGAATAGATTAATGTATGCATTTTAAAGGTATGAAATGCATTTCTCTTACCTGTATTGATTATTTCAATTTTTGGTGATTCGTTACTTTCTTCTTTCTACTGCTCTTGGATGTTTCTTTGCTGTTTTTTGTTTTAATGATTGGCAGTTATTATCTAAGTCACTAGTAAAACTTTTAAAGGCAGCTTCACTGGGGGAAGAATAATTTGCTCAATAAATATAAAGCAGATCTGACTCTCTTACTCTATATATTTCCCCCTATAATATAGTGAACGATTTGAGGGCTTTTCCAAAATGTAATGTCGTACATCTCAACCCCAACACTACAATTATGAATAGGGGAAATTAAAGTTACTAGCAGAAACTAAAATGATTATGGTTTGCATTTCATTTATCTTACAGCGAATCACCTCATTTTTAAGGGCATTAACCTTTTGCATTCATATATACCAGAATCAAATATTTAACTTTCAATTTGCAAAGTAGGTTGATTTCTAAGAAACACGTTCTGATACGGTCCCTTGAGGATAGGTGGTTGTAAAACCCGGACCAGGTGCGAATCCACAGTGCTTCAGAAAGCTTCATTCCAAATCAATAACTAAGAGAGTAAGCACTTTTCTCAGGCAACAGAGAAAATATACCCAACCTCTCAAACTCTGAAGTGGTTTTCATTCCTCTAATAATTTGTCATGGTTAACATCAGAGAGGAGAAAACTTTGCTCATGTTAGTCCTCGTTTCTTTTTGCTTTTTAAGTTTATTTAATAGGGACAGCACGAGTGCGGAAGGGACAGAGAGAGGGAGAGAGAGAATCCCAAGCAGGCTCCACGCCACCATCACAGAGCCCTATTTGGGGCTCAAACCCATGAACCTTGAGATCATGACCTGAGCCAAAACCAAGAGTCAGACGCTTAACCAACTGAACCACCCAGGTGACCCTAGTCCTTGTTTCGAAGCAGTGAAATTCAGGTCACCACATTACCAATATTGATTATGTTCCTTTCTTCTTTTATAAAAAGTAACCTTGTTTTTAAACAACAGCTTGCAATTTCTTTTCAAAATAAAAGGCTGACTTTAACTAATTTGCCAAGGAATGTTTCTAGTGTAAGATAAATTTAGAACAAAATAAATTTATTTTATTTCTTCCAACACATGGCTTAGCAAAGATGAAGACCTAAAAAGAGAAAATTACAGCACAAAATGTTATGTGAAAAAGAACCATGAAAAGAATCTGAGAAGAAATATTAAACATGAGAAAACCTGCCCTGAGCAAATACTGTACCTTGATGTCTTGATTTTTTAGCATTTCAATATCATTTGTAAAGATGTTCTACAAATTGCCTTTAATATTTTCAAAGGAATTCAATAGATGGAGGCCAAGTTGAGAGACCACCCACCAGTAGAAGCCATGGCACTCGGTGCTGGCACCAGAATCCACATCATGACCTCAGGTTCTGAGTCTCTGCCCGGCCAAGGGTCCTCTCCGAGGACACACGCATGGAGATGACATTAGCAAGCTGCAGCCACAGGCAAGTGACGTCACTCAGGGCAGGGTGAGGGCGGGGCTTGGGCTTCAACCTCACTCCCAGAACCGAGGGCACACAAATCAGTGTGGTCGTGGTCCACACTGTTCTATCTCACCGTGACAGGCAGTGGGGTGATGGGGAGACCCAGGGGTTGGCGTCAGATGGGGCCCGAGCACACTGCACCTGTTCCGCTGCCTGGGCTCTGCACCAACTGAGGAGTAATGGGCAGATGCCTGATCCAATCGTCACACCCATTCCTGACAAAGGATGAGTGGGGGACATTGTCTTCTAGGAAAGAAACCAGCAACTCTCCCTCTGTGGCCCAGGACAAGGACAAGACCTGCGGGACAGACACACTGGGACAGACAGATGCTCCCAAAGGGGACAGAGAACAGGATGGCACTGAGCCACTGAGATCATTCTTCCTAGAGTTTACACCCAGCTCTTTCCTGGGCACAGTGAGGAGAGTGAAGAGAAGCCAGTAGTCACACAAAGGGAGCTCCTTTCCCAGGATGGAAGAATCCCAGTTGGCCAAGGCTCTGCCCCAAGGACAAGGTTTTAGAGTGGGACACCTCTGGCCTTGACTCTGGCCCCCAGACTTACCAGCCATATATGGTGGGCAAGCTGCCTAATTCTCATGTTGTGCTGTTCCTCATACACAAATGTAGATGCAGTTAAGTATGTGTATTATGTAAGATGAGATCAATACCTGACAGATTCTCAAGTAACAGAAACTATAAATATTGTCATTCTGAGCCAAATGTGTATTTGGTCAGTCATGTTTCATTGATAGTTATTCATATATTAACATTGACTGGTTAGAGTTACAGCACACAGCCGGCCCACTCCCTCTGTCTGTAGTTATTCTGAACGAAATCAAAACATCCTGGACAAGAGGGGCGCCTGGGTGGCGCAGTCGGTTAAGCGTCCGACTTCAGCCAGGTCACGATCTCGCGGTCCGTGGGTTCGAGCCCCGCGTCGGGCTCTGGGCTGATGGCTCAGAGCCTGGACCCTGTTTCCGATTCTGTGTCTCCCTCTCTCTCTGCCCCTCCCCCGTTCATGCTGTGTCTCTCTCTGTCCCAAAAATAAATAAACGTTGAAAAAAAAATTTTTTTTTAAAAAACATCCTGGACAAGAATAGTGGAATATATTTGATCAGATGTGAGCAAGGTGAAACCAGGATATAGCCAGATGCAAAGACCAGATGTTTTCCCACCCCCAAATTCATATGTCGACATCAGATTCCTAATGGAAAGGTATTAGGAGGTGGGGTGTTCGGGAAGTGATTAGGTCCTGAGGGTGGGGCCCCTTGAATGGGATTAATACCATCATAAAAGAGACCCCAGGGAGCCCCCTCACTCCTCTCCCAAGGTGAAGACACAGCGAAAAGATGGCCATCTCTGAACCAGGAAGTGGTCTCCACCAGTGTCTTCATCTTGGACTTCAGACCTTCACACTGTGCGAAATGAATTTCTGTTGTTTATAGTCTACTCAGTTTATGGTATTTTTGTTACAGCAGCCTACGTGGACTAAGATACCAGATTTAAAAAAAAATCCTCTGTCAACTTCACTGTCTTCATATGGCTCAGACTTGCTTACCTCGTTCCATTTTCCCACATACAATGTTGGTGCAGGCACTTCTCAACTGTCCTCTGAAATAAGCTCCTGGTCACTGATCTATTTCCTTTAATTTCTACCCCAGCTAATTGAGAGCAGTTCTTCTAAAAATGCACATCAGTTCAAGGACTCCCTTTAGCCTCAATACAAAATCCAGGCTCTGCTTTGGATTGCAACTTTGTCAAACATAGTCACCTCCTGGAATCCTGGGCTCCAACTATCCTTGCCTTTAGGCTGGGTGGGTTTTCCCACTGTGCCCACCCTCTGGACCTTTGCAGTCTCTCATCTACACACTACACTCGTTTTCCAGCCTGACTTTTACTAGTTTTTCACATAAGTGAGTATCATCAGTCCTCAGATTAGACGTGACCTTCCCAGGAAAGCCTTCTTTGATCTCCCAAGTCTAGAATAAGCACCATTCAGGCCGTAACCTCAGATTTCACATAATGTTATAACTCAATTTTTAGCTGCCTCTCCTAATGGACTGGATACTCCTCCAGAACACAGAGCAAATTACTTCTTGAGTATTCTCACTGCAAGGCCCAAGGCATTTATTGTGTCTCAAATAAACATTTCTCCAATTGACTCAATGAATGAATGAATGAATGAATGAGATGAGATGAAAGTACATGACATTGTGTCGGTGACTCTCCTCTGCTCATATTCAGTATTCCTATCATCCCAATCCCTGCCTTTCCCATCCCCCAGATGAACCACTACAATCCTTTACATTCATTCCACACCTCCTTTTAATTAGTGGCACTCACTTCTTTATCTGGAATGACCAGGATAACACTCAAAATCAAGGTCACTGTGAGACACGTTGGTGCAATTAGTAGATTCTCAGCGTAAAGACTAAAACTTGTAGAATCCACTTGGGGAGTCCCTTTGAGAACCTTTTTTCTTAGGGTTTCTTCTTCTTTGATTCTTTTCTTTGCGATCTTATGTTTGTTCTCATTCCTTATGACATCATACTCACCCCTCTCTTTTGGCCCTGCTAACTTCAACATCCCCTTGGCTCTTCTATATTGAGTTCTCAGGTAAAGCTGGCTCCCTCTGCACAAAACTGACATCTGGCACTCTAGAAGGGACAGGCAGAATCCAGAGGAAAAAAGGAAACAAATCTAAGGCTTTGACCAGCATCTCACTCCCATGAGAAATTTGTTTTCCTTCTCCCCACTAAAGTGAGAAAAATATGGAGGACAGAATGAACAGGTGTACTACGTGTGTGAAAAAAGGGAAAGATGAGTGGTTTTCATTCATGGAGCATTCTGTCCAGTTGACAACATTTGTGCACCTCACATCCAGTCTAGACTGGCCCATCAGGCCCAAGCCATCCATGCTGGGCTTCTTTATCTGAGACAAATGCCATACGTTAATTAACTATTTGTTCCATCTTCTCTGCTGGTTTCCTTCAGATCCTTGTAGAAGTTGGAGGCAGACAACTAGCAGATATTTTAAGAATCTCACACCCCACCATTTTTTTCATAATTCCAGGTAGACAATAGCATTGCTTCCGGACCAAGGCCAATCCCTCTCTGGTACATGTGACTTTATCTTACCTTACACCAGTAAGCATGACTTCGATTGCTTGTGTCTTCTTTCTCCTGCTTGAAGGCAAGCTCAATCCACCATCATCTCTGAAAGAAATCTGTCCAAATATTCCCATCAATTCTCCCTCTCATGTAGTTGACTTATCCCTGCTCTTCCCTTTACTTCCAAATGCCTATATAGAGCCGTCTAGAGCCGCTGAATCTAATTCCTTACCTCCCATTCATTGGCCAAGTTGCCAAGTCACCAAATTGGTTTCTTTGTTATTTTCCAGAAATTGCATTTGCTAAGCTAGCAGTGGCCTGTAATTTGCCATATCCAATGAAACTGTTTTCCTTCCAAGAGACATTTTAAAGCCAGCTGTTAAAGTATGTTTTGGGAGCCCCTTGCCCTTTCACAATTATCACCAAGTCTCTGACACCTTTTCCTGGTAACACTTCTTCACAATTCAGCTCTCCATAGTCTATATCTTCTTCTCCTCCCCACTCTCTCCCATTATCTGCTGTTAACTCAAAAGTCTGACAAGAGGCCCAATTTCTCAGTCCCCACATTGTCTGCAGACACTACTATTCGCTCCTGTGTCTTTAGCTGCCAATGACAACTTTTAAATGTCCTTCAATGCTTTGACTTTTTTCTGGGACTTACCTCCACATTTCCAAACTATATACAGGACAATTTCATGAAAACATCCTAAGGCGATTGAAATTTAAACTTCTAAAACCTGATCTCATTATCTATCTCTAAACACACTCATCCTGTATCCTTTATGGGACCAAGATGGTCTGGGTAATGATGATTTATTAATTATTTAAATCCACTACCATTTTCTATAGAGAAGATACTATAACGGGGGAGTTCTCATTGATCTACAAAACACTTTAGATGGACGTGAAGCTCAGTTTACCAATGAAAGCTGAGGTGACTTAAATGCTTGGCATAACAAGATTGCAAGTCTCCAGGTCCTATCCCAGAGCAAGAGAGTGAGGCATGAATTCAGGAGTGAGGAGGGAGAGAAAAGAGCAGGTAGAACAATGAAGTAGGGTCTACACTGGTGAAAATAAGTTAGTAAAAGATTGTGAGAGTCAGGGGAGCTAAAAGGAGACACAGGGCATCATAAGTTCTATCGCATACAGTGGGCAAGGTGAGCCCACCCAGCTCTCCAGTAAAGCATCTTCTACCCACATTTATCAATAGCCTTAGATGGGTGAATAAAGCGTAAGCAATTGTTTCTTGGGTCTGGAATGATACGAGGACAACGATAGAAGGACCATCTTAAAATATAAAAGACAATCGAATTCACAGAAGTAATAATATATTGACAACAAACATGGGGCGAATGTAGACCCTGAGGTAAGTTTGGAGAGATATGGGAAGTCAGAATCACACAGTTGTTGGAAAGAGGGTTGGAATCATTTTTTCCCCCTTCTGATTAGGAGGTCAGGAAAATTCCTCTAACAGTGAATTTCCTCAACTGCGTTAATAACTTGAGCATGACCAGCCATCTGAACCACATTAGACTCTGGGATAATCATCATGAATTTCTCCCTCTCCCTCACCTTGGATTGCTCCTGGACTTGTTGGTTCTCATCCATTCTTCCCCTTCCTGCCCCCTACTCTCCATCATAGGGTCCCCCTGAAAGATGTATTTCCCATTATCCCATGACAGCTTTGTTCTGGCAGGATCTTGACAGTAGGAGCTCCAACAGGATATGGGAGGGTAACGGAAAGGGAGAAACCAGAAAGTTTCTTGCCCTCCCTCAATCTTTGATGGATCCTTTGGCAGTAGCTGTATCTCATCTGTGTATCCAGACAGAATTGTGTGCTTTCCTCTGCCTTCGGGTGGCCCCAGCCCTGTCCCTGAGCCTCCAACCTGGGCAAGAGTAGCATCCTGTGTGGTTCATCTCTGGACGGCTTTACCAACTCCTTTGGGTTCTCAATGTTTCCAGAATATGTTAAGCAGCATCGTTTTAATGGTGTCTGCTTTAAACATACAAAATAGTTTTCATTTTGTTGTTGTTTTTTATTAGACCCTCACTGATAAATTACATGAGAACATGTGGCCAAACATCCCCAATGAGCCCTAATGAGAAATATACACTAGGGTTTCATTTTGGATGTTGTATTTCATTCAGCTGATAACATTCCTTGATTTTAATATTAGAAGGACATCTAAAATATTAAGTACATAATCAATTCTAAACAAGGGTACACCAAGGATAAAATAGCTATAGAATGTAAAACGGCTTGTTAACACTTTGAACAAACCAGGGAAAGGGCAAAAAAAATCATTCATCCATTCATTTCTGCACGTACCCATTCGTTTGACAGACATTCACTGGCATGTTCCCTGAATCAGATGTTCTCTTTTTTTTCTATAGAGGAGGAATTAGAAGTGAGTGGATGGGGATAGAAAGCCATAAGCAACAAACCTGGCTTCTGCCTCTGAGGAGCTCAGATTCAATTGCAGGAGAAGAGGGTAAACAAATAATTACTGTAACTCCAACCAGCTTCTACAACGCCATATATATCTATGTCAGCTGAAGAAGGAAGGACCCCACAGTCATGTCTCATTAAAAACACAGAAATGTTATTTTTGAATAAATCCTTATCTCCTATGAGTTTATTCTTAACTGAAAATCTGTTTTATCCTTCTTCTGTTTGACTTTTCGTTAGCTTGCTCGATGCTGGGTTTGATGCAAGCCTTGCCTTCTCACAGCTACTGGGGGACTGGCAGCCATGTTTTTGTGTTAATTTGATTGATCGTACAGGAAATAAAAACGTACTCTGCCAAAAATAGCAGAGCAGCAAGACAGCAAGACCTGTTTTAAAATTGACTACATTATATGTTTCTTCTTTCCAATTCACTGCATATTTCCCAAAGCAGAGATACATTTAAATTTGATATTCCATAGACTTGCCCATGTACTACCCCAAACAATACTTCATTTAATTTAAAAGCCAACTGCCGTCTACGTTGTAACCCACATCTTTTATGAAATGTTACGGGGTAAGGCAAACCTTAACGAATCGCAGATTGTGAGTGATGTCGTGTGGATCACCTCAGCATCTGGAGTGTCACTGGAGAGCCAGAGAAATCTCCATGATCCGCAGCTCTGAGCAGAATTTAAAAGAAGGGGCACAGAAACATTTTTAGAAATCAGTTATGTGGAAGATTGGATATACAAATGGACAATTCTAGACCATATAGGAAAATGGAACTCTGACCACAATCTGCAGCAACCAGCCAGCAAATCAACTCATCTACAGAACCAGGCCAGGAAGCCAGCCTGCTCTCTATGAGTCAGGCTTGTAAGCAGCCAGACCACTATCTCCAGGGACTGGTCCCCCAAACCAATCAATAACCCCTGCAACGATTGGCCAAATGGGGCCGGAACTTACTTAATACCTGACAGCTTCCCTGATTTTTGTTCCTGCTTCTAACTTAAGACCAACAAGATAAAGCCAAATAGGTACCCTGACCAATCATAGAGGATGCCTGTGTCTGCTTAGCCCACCTCCAGGTTCCTCACACCAGCAGCCTCCATTCAGGGCACAACTGGAGTCACCCCTTTTTCCCCACTGCGCAATTGCCCACTCCTCTGCCTGCCAGGTGTCTGCTAAAAGACAAGTGATAGTGGCCGACTCCTTTGCTACAGTAAGCACTGAAGAGACAGCCTTTGCTTTTCTCATTAGGTTGATCTTTATCTCCACCTATAATTACTCTGCTTTTATTCCACGTGCATTTATCCCACGTGTTTATTCCACGTGCATTCAGTTGGCTACGTGAAGCATCACTGTGACGAACAATGCACTCGGGTTTCTAGGACCAGACTAATCGTTGGAGCTTCACCAAGCCACTTCTGAGCCAGGTTCGGAAACTGCGTGTCAAGAGTTTTAATTCTAAACCTCAGTGCATCCAAGAAATCCATAAAACCGCTGTAAGAGAGTCTCTACCAAGGTCGATGCCATTTGGGCTAAGCAGAAAGGTAGGTTCTGATGCGGACAAAAGCTATGAGCTAAAATCCGTGTGCCTGGAGGACCACTATGTCATAGAAAAGAGAATCGTGAACAACTATAATTCCTCGGGAAGGTGGGCAGGACATCACCTGGGGATTGGGTCAGGAAGTTCCAGTTACAAGAGATGGTCAACTCGTAGCAGAGATCTAATACGAATTTTATAGCCTATAGCATGCACTTAAAAGAATGCGTGGCTTGAAGGGCAGGGTGGTCTGTTTTAGGATGCTCTGGAATGCAAACATTGGCCCTTGAGTGTCGATGGAGAAAAAAATATACCTTTAACATTTAATGTATTAATATATTCAAAATATTTTAAATGCATGATTTAGGGTTGGTGTTAGACTGGATAATTTCTGGTCTTAAATGTCTCTAAAATTTTATGATTCTGCTCAGCTATAATTACTATATTGAGATAATAAAGTAACCAGATATTTGCACTGCAAATCTCCCAACTAGCGTTTTCCCAAAACAAAACCAGGGCAGTGTTTGGAATTCAGGGAAGTAGGTTGTCTCTCAACACTAAAGAGAACTTGCTTATTTTAAAAAAGCATGATGAATAAATCTAATGTTTTATCCTAGATGAGGTCCTGAAACAGAAAGGACATTATGAAAAAAGTAAGAAAATCAAATAAAGTATGAATTTAAATTAACAATATATCATATTGGTTCCTTAGTTGGGATAAATATTCCACAGAATGCAACATGTTAACAATAGTGGATAGAGTGTAAATATTCAGGAATTCTCCAAACTAACACTGTAACATTTTTTTAAATCTAAAATTATTGTAAAATTAGTGTTTGTTTAAAAAAAATTAATGCTCTTTAAAAATGCAAATGGATGAAAGAATGTAAGTTTTAATTTTTTTCTCCTTCCCTGGGAATATTCGGGCAAGAACATAGGCAAAGGTATACCAGATCAGATATAGTATATCACATTCAAATCTAAATCTGTGAGTTGGGAAATACAAATAAAGTGAGCTTAGCTCATGCTATACAGACAATTAATTCGCAGTAGTCTTCAATATATTTAAGATAGAGTTAGGAATTGGAGTGCCTGGGCGCCTGGTTAAGCATCAGACTTCAGCTCAGGTCATAATCTCACAGTTTGTGGGTTCCATCCCCGTGTCAGGCTCTGTGCTGACAGTTCAGACTCTGGATCCTGCTTCAGATTCTGTGTCCCCCCCTCTCTTCCCCTCCCCTGCTCTCTCTCTCTCTCTCTCTCTCTCTCTCAGAAATAAATAAACATTAAAAAAATTTTTTAAAAGAAAGTTTTAAGAATCAGTCGTTATCATGCTTTCAATCTCCAAATCATTTTCATTTATTGGGTTTTCATTGCTCATGACCAATGTTAAGGTAGAGGAGTAGAAATATTTATTATGGAATGTATGAAATATTACAAAATGGGCGGGTTCTTTCATGGAATTTCACGTATGGATTTGGATTTCCTTTCTAAATAGGGTGGGAATTTAAGCTTTGAGTGGCCACTAAACAAGCCGCTGTAACCAAAGACTCTAGATAAAAGCTTGTTCTTTAATAAATAACCGCTAACAATATGCAATTATCAAGGGTGATGACAAAGCAAAGTGTAACATCTGCAGACTCCACTGGATTAAACATCATGTTTTACTCAGCAGGATACTACTTTGAACAATTAGTTACCCATTATAAATTAAGCCTAATTAAAGGTTAAACACTAGAGAGAAAGGGGAAAACCAACAAAAACATTTGCAAGCAACTCAAGCATTGATGCTCCAACTATGGGTTGGATTAGGAACTCATCGCAGAGACATTTTGATATACCAAAATTAAATTACAGTAAACAATTAAATAAAGATGACTTACTTATGCATTATGAACTATATATGTTTTTTTAAATGTTATCGAGGTATAACTGATATACCATAGACCACATATATCGAAACTGAAACAGGTGCATAAACATAAAACTATCACCACAATCAAGAGAGCGTAGATATACACCAACGTTTAACAGTCCTCATGCCCTTCTGTAACTCCTTCCTCCCTTCAGCACTCTGATAACCAGGCAAACACTGACGTAGGTTTTGAATTTTCTGAAATTATATGTAGATAGATAGTGATGGATGGATGGATGGATGGATGGATTGATAGACAGATAGACACACACACAGAGGACACACTTCTTTCACTCAGCGTATTTTATTACTTATCAATGTTGTTGTGTGTATCAATACAGTAGTTCATTCTTTTTGACCGTGGAGCAAATTTTTCATGATATGGATATTCCAAAGTTTGTTTATCCGTTCACCTGTTCATCCAAACATCTGGATTGTTTCCAGTTTTTAACTATTGAAAATAAAGCTTTGATGAGCATAGCATAGAAGTCTCTGCCTGAACGTAAGCTTTCGCTTACGTTGTCTAAATACTTAGGAGTGCAATGGCTAGGTCCTGTGACAGGGGAATGTTTAACAGGTAAGACATTGCTAAACTGTCCTCGAAAGTGATTGTGGCATTTTATGTGCTCCTCGGGAGTGCATGGGAGTTCCAGTTACTCTGCATCCTCAACTACATTTTTGATAGGGCGTCTTTTTACTTTTAGCCATTCAAATGGGTGCGTAGTGTATTTCACTATGGTTTTAATTTTCATTTCCCTAATCACTAATGAGGTTGAGAATTTTTCAAGTGCATACTGGCTATCCATTTATCTATCTTCCTTTGTGACGTATCTTTTGAATTCCTTTGCCCATTTCATTGGTTGTTTGTTTCCTTACTATTGAGTTTCGAGAGTTCTTTTTGTATTCTGGATACAAGCACTGTATCAAATATGTGTCTTGCAAATACTTCTTTTCAATCTGCAGTGTCTGTCTTCATTCTTTTAATATTGCCTTTCAAAAACCAAAAGTTCTTAAATTGGATGAAGTAATCTTTATCCTTTTATATACATATGAAAGAATAAATATATATACGTACAAACATACATATATATGTGTATATATATAGTTGTTGTTTATTTGATTTTACCTGACATCTTCCTCACTCTCCAGGAATGCTTAAGATCGCAAAAGACCAATCTCCTCCTCTAGAGGAGGTGGAGTGTATTTTTGCATGCATTTTTTAAAATTTTTTAAATATTTATTTTTGAGAGAATTTGAATTTGAGAGAGAGAGAGACAGAAGAGGGAGAGCACGAACAGGGGAGGGGCAGAGAGAGAGAAGGAGATACAGAATTGAAAGCAGGCTCCAGGCTCTGTCGGAGCTGTCAGCACAGAGCCCAAAGCGGGGCTCAAACTCATGAACCATGAGATCGTGACCTGAGCCAAAGTCAAGAGTCAGAGGCTTGACTGACTGAGCCAACCACGCACCCCAGAAGACAAACTCTACTGTATGCAGTGCTTTATTTATTTATTTTTTTGAGAGGGAGAGAGACAGAGCATGAGCAGGGGAGGGGCAGAGAGACAGAGGGCAGCACAGAATCTGAAGCAGGCTCCAGGCTCTGCACGGTCAGCACAGAGCCTACGCCAGGCTCGAATTCACGAGCTGTGAGATCAGGACCTGAGCCGAAATCAGACACTTAACCGACTGAGCCACCCAGGCACCTCCCATGCTTTCACTGTGGGCTGCATGTAGCGTCTGCCTTCTTAGGAGTACAATTTTGAAAAAGGAAAAAAGAGTAACTTCAGAGTGGAGAGAGCTAACAAGCACTACCCCGGCCAGTCGATCAAAATTCACACCAATAGTGATTAGTCATGGCGATAGTCTACACCTGTGATAGGATGTGATGAAAATGGCACTTTGTCTCTTAATTGCAACAAATGCACCACGTTAATGTAAGAAGTTAATGACAAGGGAAATGGTGTGAGGCATATTGGAGCTCTGTGTCCAATCTTCCACATTGTGCCTTCGATCTAAAGAGGTTCCATTTCCAAAACTATCCTTAGGAAAAAAAAAAATGTCTAAGGACTTGGATTTATGTAATACATTTAAGCTCTTCTTTGGATATAGATATTATAAATTGAAGGATCGTTTTCTATTTTTATTATAATATAAATTGGTCACCTTCTGCCATAAAACTGCTGATTATATATTTATAAGAGAGCAAATGTTCCCTTTACTGCTCCTTT